GTTATAGTCCTTTCATCAGTACAGGTACCTAAAATCCAGTAACACATCGTAGGTCTACATACGTTTGTATTGTAGATCGTCATCTCGTGTCTCAAAATATAGTCTTATAAATTAAACCAGCAGTTGAGAAGGCTACCTATTTCATTCCATCTCTAGTGGGCACATATAGTATAAATAGTAAGACTGTAATATTTATATTTTATGGTAGTTGACTTTCTAAGCTTGTTTTCCCTACTAGTGTTTTCTGTGCATTTAATCCTAGTCCTATTATTTCTATGTTTTAAGTTTGAAGCTGATTTTCTCAATACCAGATTCTCATGCATCTACACTTAAAAACACTCACACTTTAAATGTTGATGTTACGAAAAAAGCAATTCAAAGACCAAATTAAATCTTACAATGTGCTCAACTCAATTCTTGATTCTCCATATTAATTTTGTGGTAAAACCTCTCATATTCAATATCTCTAGTCTGTAGATTATGTTTTAGTTTTCAGTTCATCACATAAATTATACATTTCTTTTAAAATACAAAACATTTCAATAGAGCTAATAGGTAGCAACGTAAAACCATATTATATAGACCCTAGGACTAATAAACATTTGCCAAATTCACGAATATTCGCCACGTAGTAGATTAAGTATATATGCCTACATACTCAGGCTGTCTCTTATACACATCTAGATGTGTATGAAAGTAAAAAAAAAAAAAAAATAATAGCACAGAAGGCCTCAAATGTTATTTTCGGGCGCCTAGAATACAAAAATTTTGCGGACCCCTAGGACAGTGTTGTTTCGATCGGCCCAACTTTTGGCCACCCCCTTTCGGCCCCCTTTTGGACATCTCTGGATCCGCCCCTGATACTTAGTACGCCTATAACAAAGGATTGACGATTAAATTAATTTAAATAATTCCACTCATTTAAAATCCATGTTTAGTTACTCTTTTATCTTTTAAATATATGTATTATTTTACTAAAGCAATTCGTAATATCACCTTACCTCTTGGAGACGCCCCTTTTTGACTAACTGTAGGTAAAGATGGAAGCATTTTGGTGTATGTAGTGGAGACTGTCCTATTTTCTGTCGCTGTTAGTAAAAAATGTGGCAGACTGGCTGGCTGGCTGTTCCTCATTACTATCACCAGAAACCGGAACTACTTCAGGTTTTGTTTACCCACATCCATTGTTTGGGTTGGGCCAATGATATTATTTCACATTAAACAATCACATTTTCCACTCAGTTACTCTACCGACAGAGCAAAGCGAACCGTGATGAATTTGTAAAGCATTGTGATTTTTTTAAAATTTGATTATTTGAGGATTACGACGCCCCTAAAGGGATATGGTTAGAAAAAATATTAAACTATTTCGAGGGAACGAAATAATAACGTTCCCTCGAAATATTATTTCGTTTTCTCGAAATATTATTTCGTTCCCTCGAAATACTATTTCGTTCCCTCGAAATAATATTTCGTGTCCACAGTGCCTTTAGCGTCGGCTGTTCGTCAGGGTTGGCGCCAGGATTTGCCCGACGGGGGGCCAAGGTCCCCTGCTGGGAGTTCCGATGCCCCGACGAGGGGTCAGATTTTGCCGACGAAAGCAAAGTGGGTGTGGGTCGGTTTTTAAATTTTGACAGTTTTAAGGGTTTCAAAGGCTTATTTAATCGATATTGGAGTCTACTAATATGTAGAAAATACATACAATTTTTGTTTCTCCCCGATGAATGATGGAGGGGGGGGGGGCGCAGTTCTCCCCGACGG